AGAGAAGAGCTGCTTGATAAGTCTCACCCATAGCTTAATTTGCCAGAGGATGTTGTGAAGACCAGGACTTTAACAGGGTTTACAAAAAGGAGGTTACTCACCTTGGCTGTAACTGACATTCTTTGAGATGAACGTCCCTGGGGATGCGCCACAGCAGGTGTCAGTGTATCTCAGCGCTGCAGAATGGATTCTTCCTAGCACTGCTTTGGGGCAGCACCATGCGGCACTACCATGCATGCACAGCCACCCTCCCTTCAGTTTCTTCTCTATCTACAACCTGGCCTGGTGGAAATGACTTTTTTTGGTTTTGGTCCAAAGTAGAGGGGAGGAAAAGGTCGTGGAGCACCCCCAGGGATGCTTATCTTGAAGAACGTCAGTTACAGCCACAGTGAGTAACCTCCTCTTCGAGAGAGAGATGTCCCTGGGGGTGCTCCACAGCAGGTGACTGCAAAGCAATTTGTCTTATGGAGGTAGGGACTTTGGATCAGGAAGGTAAGCTGTCTGTAGTACGGCCTTTGCAGGGTGAAGAGGGCTGGTGGAAAGTGCATAGTGTCTAGCTAAAGTTTGTTCTGATGTCCATGTAGCAACAGCACATATGTCGCTGATGGGAACCTAACTCAGGTGAGTGGCCGCTCTCGTGGAGTGTGCATGGACTGAGGTAGGTGGTGGTAAATGATTCAGATTGTAGCACATCATGATGCAGTCAGAGATCCAATGGGATTGTCTTTGAGATGATATCTGATGCCCTTTGTTACGGTCCGCAATGGAGACCAAGAATCGTGGGGATGACCTAAAGAGTTTTATTCTGTAGAGGTAGAAGGAGAGCACCTTGAGGACGTCAAGGGTATGTATCTGTACCTCAAAGGCATTGGCATGAGGCTCAGGAAAGAATACAGGTAAGTGTATTGTTTGGTTAAGGTGGAGCGTACCTTGGGTAAAAACTTAGGATGTGTCTGTAGAGAGACTTTGTTCTTAAAAAGGATGGTGAATGGTGTGTCTGCCATTAGGGTAGCCATCTCTCCTACCTGACGTGCTGACATTATTGCAACTAGGAACGCCGTTTTGAGCATTAAGTGGAGACGGGAGCAAGTGGCCATAGGTTTGAATGGAGACTTTGTGAGTGTGGTCAGCACCAGATGTAGGTCCCATGGTTCCTGTGGGGCAGTAACATCAGGATATAGGGCGTGTAGGCCTTTGAGGAAGCGTTTGCTTGTGGGATGTGTGAAGACCATGGTGTCATCGACGGTCATATGGAATCTTGTTATTGCTGCGAGATGTATTCTAATTGAGGCTCATAGAAAGGTGGGATTGCTTAAGATGTAGTAAGTAATCAAGGATTGTAGGTATAGGGGCATCTTCCAGTGATATGTTATGGGAAGCAGCCCAATGTACAAAACAAGACCATTTGTTAGTCTACGTCTTCCTCATTGCTGGGGCCCTGCTGTGGAGGAGCACATCACGTATCTGAACATTGTAATTCTATGCCCATGAACCATCGAGGTACCATACTTTGATGTCAAGAGTGGGGAATTGTGGGTGAGGAGCTTTGGTTCCTGGTTGGAATCGTATGCTCGGGTTGTGTGGAACTGTGATCAGGCAATGTAGAGCCATTCTGCTCAGGAGGGAAAACCACGGCTGCTGGGGCCAGCAAGGTGCTATTAGGATGATCCTCGCTTTGTCCCTCCGCACTTTGAGGAGTACTCTGTTGAGGAGGGGGAAGGAAGGGAACACATAGAATAGGTGGGCATTTCACTTAAGGATAAGAGCATCTGCGAGTAAGTTTGAGGAAGGTAACCTAGTGACAGATGATGTGCGGAAAGCTGAAGTACTCAATGCTTTCTTTGCCTCTGTCTTCACGGACAAGGTCAGCTCCCAGACAAATGCACTAGGCAATGCAGTATGGGAGGGAGGTAGGCAGCCTTTGGTGGGTGTAGTGGCCACCCACTGACCCCGAAGGGGAGGCGCCCCTCCCAGAGCTGACCCGCTTACAGTGGGGAAAGAACAAGTTAGGAACTATTTGGAAAAGCTAGACATACACAAATCCATGGGCCTGGATTAAATGCAGCCTAGGGTACTGAGTGAGTTGGCAAGTGTCTTTGTGAAGCCTTTGGCAATTATCTTTGAAAACCCGTGAAGATTGGGAGAGATCCTGGATGATTGGAAAAAGGCAAATGTAGTGCCCATCTTTAAAAAAGGGAAGAAGGATGATCCAGGGAACTACAGACCAGTCACCCTCACCTCAGTCCCTGGAAAAATCATGGAGGGGCTTCTCAGCTGAGGAGTCCCTGGGGCTCTGTGTGCTTTGAAATGCCACATGGATCCTGGGATCAGCTGACTCCGGGTTCTGCGGAAATCCTGCACAGAGCCCAGGGTCAGTTAGGGAGTCCCTAGCTGACCCCGGGGTCCACATGGCGCTGCCACTTTGAAACGTTGCTGCGGCATTTGAAAGGAGTAGCGCCGGACAGCTGATCCTGGGCTCTGTGCAGCACTGCCCCCTTTGAAACAGCATGGTACTGTCTCTCCCTCCCCCCACCCCCTTTGCTACCTTCATCTCATAGAGGCAGCAAGGGGACGGGGGGAATCAATAAGCATTTGCTTTATCTGATAATCGACTAGTCCTTAACATCCTTAGTCCAAATATCAGTTAACAAATAGGCAATGTTGCAGATGACACTAAAATGGGGGAGACACAGATATGCTGGAGGGCAGGGATAGGGTCCAGAGTGACCTAGACAGATTAGAGGATTGGGCCAAAAGAAATCTGACGAGGTTCAACATGGACAAGTTTAGAGTCCTGCACTTGGGACGGAAGAGTCCCAAACATTGTTACAGGCTGGGGACCGAATGGCTAAGTAGCAGTTCTTCAGAAAAGGACGTGGGGATTACAGTGGATGAGAAGCTGGATATGAGTCAGTGTGTCCTTGTAGCCAAGAAGAATAATGGCATATTGGGGTGCATTAGGAGGAGCATTGCCAGCAGATCCAGAGAAATTATTATTCCCTTTTATTCGGCTCTGGTGAGGCCACATCTAGAATATTGTGTCCAGTTCGGGCCCCCCACTATAGAAAGGATGTGGACGAGTTGGAGAGGATCCAGCGGAGGGTGACCAAAATCATTAGGGGGCTGGAGCGCATGACCTATCAGGAGAGACTGAAGGATTTGGGTTTGTTTAGTCTGCAGAAGAGAAGAGTGAGGGGGGATTTGATCCAGAGAAGGGCAACCAAAATGATTAGGGGGCTGGAGCACATGACCTACGAGGAGAGGCTGAGGGATTTGGACTTATTTAGTCTACAGAAGAGAAGAGTGAAGAAGGAGTTCATAGCAGCCTTCAACTACCTGAAGGGAGGTTCCAAAGAGGATGGAGAGAGGCTGTTCACAGTAGTGACGGATGTCAGAACAAGGAGCCAATGGTCTCAAGTTACAGTGGGGAAGGTCTAGGTTGGATATTAGGAAAAAACTATTTCCCTAGGTGGGATCAGTTACCTAGGGAGGTGGTGGAATCTCCATCCTGAAAGGTTTTTAAATCTTGGCTTGACAAAGCTCTGGCTGGGATGATTTAGTTGCGATTGGTCCTGCCTTGGGCAGGTGGCTGGACTGGATGACTCCTGAGGTTTCTTCCAGCTCTAGGATTCTATGAAGTGCTTTCCCACGCCTGCCCTGGAGCAATAAAGTGGGCATTTTTTTTGGTTATTCTGATAGTAAATAGGTCTATGTGAAGGTGTGTCTGCTGTGCAAATATCTGTGTCAGACTCAAACAGTCGATCTGCCACTCATGATCTTGAGATAGGACTCTGCTTAGGGCATCCGCTGTAGGGTTTAGGGGACCGGGGAGATGGCACACAGTTATGAAGATACCATGAGTGAGGCACCAGTTCTAGAGTGCTATGGCTTCCTTGCCTCGAGCATAGGATTGTGCCCTACCTTGTCTGTTTATATAAAACATACAGGCTGTATTGTTGGTATGTGTTTTGACACGAGTTCCAGTGATGTGGGGTAAAAAATGCTGGCACGCAAGCCAGACAGTCCTGAGCTTGAGGACAATGATGTATAGCATCCTCTCTGCCAGAGTCCATAGGCCCTGGGTTGTAAGGTCTCTCATGTGTGCTCCCCAGCTTGAGAGAGAAGTGTCTGTGGTGATGACCACTGTGGGTTCTCGAGTCTGAAAGGGTATGCCCCTGCATTAATTGTCCAGTTTGTCCACCACAGTATTGATCTTTTTACTATGTCCGGGACTGACTGTGTTTTTGTCGGGGAGTGTAGGTTGGGCTTGTAAATCCATCTGAGTCATTCCTTGAGGCACCTCATAAATAGATGGGTGTTTGGGACCAACATCCACCGTTTCCCCTCTGTCCACAAGTCTTGATACGTTGTCTAAGAAATCTATTAGGTGCTAATATTTCTATCTATCCAAAGAATGGCTTTCCCTTCCACATAATGTCAGTAGAAGTAGCAAAGAGGCAGCTGAGCAGCTCTCCTGCCACAGAGTGGCATGGGCAGGGACAGATTTTTTTCCACTCAGTTTTTGTATAACTATCCAATGACCAGCCAGACATGACCAGACGTGAGGGCTGAGGCCCTAGGACTGTATCAGATCTCCTTCACTTACAACTTTGCATCCTTAGTAGACAAACTTTAGCTCATGTTCCACCCTCCTTTGACACCAAAGTTTTAACATTTGTAGGAACAGCCATTTTACAAACCAAACTTTATCCTGCAGTCTTTTTTTTTATGAATTATAAGATAAGGGATAGCCAACAATACAAAAACATTTTCATTTTAAGTTGTAAATGCATTCCAAATCCATTCTTAAAGTGAAATTACTCTATTATCATCCAGAAATGTGATGACAGTTTAGAAAAGTTTCTCAGAACAGGTTTGTAGAATGATGGATGAGATGTCTAAATAACAAATGGGATTTCCACAACTATTGCTGCTTTTAATGAATGTCTGTCATTATGGAAATACATAAACTTATTGCAGAGTTGACAAAAAGAACTTACAGCTAAAGCGGAGATAAAGCTGTCCATCAGATAGTAGTCAGCTCCATCATGTCCCATTAAGTGGCTTGGAATGACTGTGGATTTTTTCGTTGGATGAATAGTTTTCTTTCTTGTGCAAAAGTCAAAAACTTCCACTGGTCCTGCACCATCACAGAATAATTCTCCCTAGAAGTCCAAAGTGAAGTACAAAACATACCTTAAATATATCAGTCCAATTTTTTTGACAGTGTTTCTAGTAATGTAATCTAGTAAAAATTGGGCCTGAGATTATCCCAAATTACATACGGTTACTGATTCTGAAAGTGTTGAGGGACAGTGTAATTTATATAACTAGAAAGGACACAGCATTTCTGCAGCACATCCAGGGCCTGAGGAGGAGGCCTGAGTCCTATGAGGAACAGACTGAACTGCCTTTCCATTCCAGAAACACTGTTTGTGATGCCCCCGTGCCACCAAGCAGGATTATGTAGCTTCCTTTAAGCTTTCCTGTTTTTCCTTATTCTTTTAAAAAATTGATTGCTGTTTAATAAATAGTATTTGCTTTGAATTGTATGTAATAATCAGTAGGCCAGGGAAATGTCCAGTGTAGAGAGAGCACACTTGTACGGGGACACCCTAGCCCAGTGGCTTTCAACCTTTTTAACCACAAGACCACTTTTTCAATATAAGTGCAATGTAAGATCCACCTCAAACCCAAATACCCTTGGCCCCACTTTCTTCACATCCCTTCTTGGAGTTCATCTCCAGCTCTACCCCTTCTCCAAGGCCTCACCCTGCCCACTCCATCCCCCTTTCTCCCCAAACCTCATTCATTTTCACCAGGCTGGGGTTTTGGGTTGGGGTGCAGGCTCTGGTCTTGGGCTAAGGGGTTTGGAGTGTGGGAGGGGCTCTGGCCTTAGTCCAGGGAGGAGGATTGGGTCTAGGAGAGGTTTCAGGGTGCAAGCTCTGGGAACAAATTTGGGTGCAGGGGGACTCATGTCTGGGGCAGGAGGTTGGGTGTAGGAGGAGGTTCAGGGCTGGGACAGGGGTTCAGGATGTAGGCTCTTGCTGGGCACCGTTTAATTAAGATGGCTTCTGGGTGATGGAGCAGTGAAGTTAAGGCTTGTTTACTCCTGCCCTGGTCCTGCAGCATTCCTGAAAGCAGCTGGCATGTACAGCAATGGCTCCCTGGTGCCATGTGGTGCCTCATCTACAGGCACTGAGCCCACAGCTTATACGGGCAACGGTTCCCCATTACTGATCAATGAGAGCTGCAGGAGTGGTGTCTGCAGGCAAGGACAGCATGTAGAGACCCCCTGCTCTGCCTGTCTCAGGGGCTGCAGGGACATGCCAGCCACATCCAGAAGCAGCAATTACGGGGATAATTACTCCAGCCATAAGTTAGGCTCCCTCCTTCCCCTTCTCTCTGTACGGAGACAGGGTACAGAAGTGGGGACACTCGGACATCAGCGCCCCCCCCTTTTTTCCTCCCACACTCTGCACAGCAAGTGGAAGGCTCCCAGGGGGACAGCTTCAAGGCAGAGGGCAGGAGCAGCATGACAGTGGGTGGAGAGACAACTGAAGTGCCAGCACTTGGAAGCTTCCATGCCAAACCAGTCAGGATCACTTGTCAGAGGCTCCAAGATCTACCTGTAGACCCCAATCTCCTGGGTGGTGGCCACTGCCCTAGCCGCTTTCCTAGGTGACCACAAGAAGTTTGGGGGTCAAGCACCCATGGAATCCTGGGCCCAGGTTCCACAGCTGACAGAGGCACTTATCAGCTGGCCCACAGCTGCTGCCGTGAGAGGGGGCTGGGAGGAGCCCGTATCTGAAACTTCTCATCCCTAGACCCACCCCAGACTTCACTCTGGCTTGTCAGTCATCTCAGTGCCTTTGTGATGCATTAAGATCACTCCTAGAAAAGGTATGTTTTGTGTTTTAAATATCTTCACTATGGACAGCCTTTACATCTTATTAAAATAATGGCTAGCGTAATCAGCAGGAGGATCAAAAATGCATGACACAGCTAGTGCACTTGTTTATTTGCTGGCCACTGACCTCCATTTTGACAAAGGCCTCATATGGTCACAGTCCTTTAAAACGTATCTCCCAAGTCAACATAAAACAACAGGAAATACAATGTGGTAAAAAAACCTTTTAAAGGACAGTTAGCATACATAACACTCAATTACCATTTTTTTAATGTCCAATAAACTAGTGCAACAACTCAGATGAAAAACAGAGGCCCTCAGCATGACTTTTCTCCACAATGCTTTGTTAGCAGTTACAGCTGTTGTTCTCAAAGTGTGTTCGGAGCTCACCCCACCCCTGCAATGGGGAGCCTGAGCTGGCACTCTAGCCCTGTGCTCCTCCCATGATGTTGAGAGGGAAGAAGTGACTCTGAGAACCATATGTGTTCATTTTTTTAATTGTATCCTTTGGTATATATGGTTGTGACTATTTTCTTCCACTATTTGATCTGAGGAAGTGGGTCTGGCCCACGAAAGCTCATCATCTAATAAACCAGCTTGTTAGACTTTAAAGTGCTACATTGTCCTGCATTTTGCTTCTGAGAACCAGTGAGTTACATTTTAGCACAACATGTGTGTAACAGCAAAATATTAATTTAAAAATCACTAAGACCCATAATCCAGGTACTATCTTGGATTGGCCTCTGTTTTGACTCTCACATCCAGGCCATGTTGAAGCCTGGCTGCTTCTATACTTACCTACTGCCCACTGTTCTACATTCCTACCTTTCCAAACGACCATGGCTTTTATTCAGAACATGTCATGCCATGAATACAAGCCCACAGTTTCTCTGACTTTTAATAGGAGTTAAGTAGTGTCCCCATAACCAAGGTCCTGAGAAAATAAGATTTATTTTAAATTCGCAGTAGAATCCCAACTAAATGTTTGCATTTCATGGAATTCACATGGGTGCGGTGTCACCCCTACACTGCTGTGATTTTTCTAACAGTGGCAAGGCAGAATCAGGGTTAAGAGGTCAGTCCCACCCCAGAGTACAGTAGGGTGGTGGAAGGTTGGTCATATACCAGGGAGTGTGCATGTTGGTGTCTTATCACATGGTGCTGACAAGTTCAGCCCAGCCTGACTCAGGTCAGGGTGGGATCCAGCTAGCTCCATGCTCATATCCAGAAGTTGTTGCTGTTTCCTGTCTGTCCAGTAAGGAGAAGGGAGCAGCACAACCTCCATCCTGGAGGAGACAACAATGCATCAGCTGGCAGGGAGCTGAGACAAGGATCCCTGCCCCCAGCATGATCCTCTTGCCAAGGCATGGCCTTCCTCACATTCCAATCAGCTTCAGCGGAGAGGGCTACTTCGTGCCCTGATCCCTCCATCAGGATAGGGTCTTCTCAAACAGTTGCTCATATTCCAAGTGGCTACAGTGCTAACTGGTGTGCGGATGGATCCTTGTCTCAGCTCCTGCACTGTCTCCCCGCAGGCTGCCAGGGGATGCTCTGGGATGGGAGGGAACACTCCTAATTGCTGCACTGTCAGTCTTGTCTCTCTCTGCCTGCTGGCCAGATAGGAAACAGCAGTGGCAGCCTGGTCCAGATCTAGGGTTGCCAGTTAGTTTCACCAAAAATACAGAACATGGCGGGGGGAGAGGGGGGGAGAGAAAGCCCCGCCAGACACAGCAGGGGAAAAATGTCCCCACCGGCCTTCTGTCTGTTTTTTTAACTGGACAGAAGATGCAATTTCCAGACTGTCCAGGTGAAAACTGCACACCTGGCAACCCTAACCCCATGCAAGGAAGGGGGGGGGGCACTTCCGTTCCCTCCCCCTCTGGCAAGGGATTCCTCCTCCCCCTCCCCCCAGCCTTTCCATCAGGTCCTGCATGCATCCTGAACAGTTAAGGAGGCACTGAGGCTAGCTGGGCTCCAAGACACTGCTCCTTGCTGCAGCCAGCATATTGCAGGGAAGGAGTTCTGGGGCTTGCCCAGATGTGGCCACCCCTTCCTCCCTAAATGCACCCCATGCAGGGATGGGGCTGGGGGTGATTCTCTTCCTTCCCACTCCTGCAAGGTATTCTCTCCCCCCCCACCTTCCTTCCAGTCCTGCATGCCTCCTTAACTGGTAAGGTCCCAGTCTGCCAGAGGCTAGCCAGCCTATTCAGGGAAGGTGTGTGAGTGGGGGAGGGAGGGGGAAGGGGAGAAGCTGTCCCTGCTGTGGCTTCCCTTTCCTTCCAAAAAGTGCTCCATGCAGGGAAGGGGCTCAGGGCCTTCTCTTCCCGCCCTCTCCTCTCCTCTCCTCCCACACACCTGCTCACAGCAAAAGGAGTTTCGCTGGCAGCCTCTGCAGCTGCCTGAGCCTGGAAAGGAGCTGCAGTCTCTTTCACTGCCGCCTGGCTGAAATGCTGCAGGGCTCCAGCATGTGGAGCTTCTCCCTCTGGCCAGATCTCTTGTGTGCGTCCCTCCCACGTGCAGGAGAGGAACCCGAAGCATCTGGCCATGTGACAGGGGAGGCTGGGGGAAGTTTTTTAAGTGGCCCCAAGGACACCCCTGCCAGATACGGCAGGGGAAAAACAAAAAATACCAGACATTTTGTATGTCCGGTATTTTCTGTGGGTTTTTTTTTTTTTTTAAACCAGACAGAAGATGCATTTACCGGACTGTCCGGGTGAAAACTGGACACCTGGCAACCCTAGCCAGATCTTAGTGCAGATTGAGTGAGGCCTTGATTCCTGTTCTGGACCATCCAGGACCATGTGGTCAGACTCTCTCCCACATACACCCTCTCTGCTCCCTGGCATATGACCAGCTCTCCATCTTCCTGTCCCCTTCCTGAATAGGAACAGCCTGCCAACCTCCCTGCTCCTAGTGAGCAATCTCAGCAGGGATGCAGGGACAGGGATGTCCACTTCCACCTCCCTGCAGTTGGAAATGGCTAATTCCATGAATTCCAGCCAACCCATGAAATCATAATTTACAAAGGGCCTTACACCCATAATATCCCTATAGTAGGCCCTATCCAAAATTCTCTTTGATTTCACTGGTTACAAAATTGTGTCCAGAAAATAGTAATGGTGAAGTACTGAATTGTGTGGCAATCACCCATTGATTTACCTTGGTCCCATACACTGTGGTTTTCCGTGTTCCAAGCTGCTCTGTAAAAGCCATCATAGTAAAAGCAGCTGTTGCTCCTCCTTCAAATTCCATGTTAACAACCTGCAAAGAGTAAACTGTCAAGTTTAGAAATATACAGCCACTCAGAGTGTTGAGGGGACTCTGGCAGGAGTGAGTGAAAGTATATTTCCTGTCATCTATGGTATAACTAGAAGATACAAAGCAGACAGTGCAAACATTTGAAGGATGAAATTGAACAGATGTTACATATCTAGCACATTAGGTAAGCTATAACATTCATGTATTGTGTGCTGGGAGCTTTTCTACTAGAGCAGCACAGAATTCATGTGTTGTACAGGCACTACTTGTCAAAAAGTTTTACTTTCTTTTACCTTGTGCTGCGGACAGCATACTTTTCAATCTTTAATTTTTTTCAGTAGGACTCTTGATAAGTTCACACTGTCATAATGGTGCTACTAGAGCTAGGTTTATGGCAACACATTCCAAAGTTTTGAGTTTACACACAAGTTTTTTCAAGGGCCAATTTTTCCTTACCAAACCTCAAAGAAATAACCAAATAAAAGAGGAAAAACTTAAAAAACAACAAATAGTCTAGTAGCACCTTAAAAACTAACAAAACAGGTAGATAGTATCATGAGCTTTTGTGGGCAAAACCCACTTCTTTCAAATGACTGGAGTATTAGAAGTCCAGATCTAAGAATAAATAAGGGAAGAGGGTGGGGGGAGGAAAAAAAGACAGACACAAGAAAAAGAGAGAGACAATGAGCAGATGGTGCAGGTAGTTACAAGAGGCTGATAAGAGGACTTAACTAATTTATTTTAAGACATACAAACTGAAGTGTTCTGGTTTCATACTCATAATTAATATCTACATATTAAAAAATTTAAGTCAATAAATAGCTTTACATTTACTGTGAGATGAACCAAAAATATCATACCTGGTTACTGACAACATCATTGTCACATTCATAAACACATCTTCCATATGGACCACTCTGTAGGGCCTCTACCACAGATTCTATGTCACAAACACCACTAATGCACACAACAGATACTGGCCAATTAAAATAACCCTACAAAAAAAGAAGAATGTTATTTGTGCAAGACATACCATCTAAAAAGGGAAGATCTCTGCCTCTTTTTATCTTGAACCAAATTCTCATTTATATGTGCAGAAATCAGAACCAATTGGTACATTTGGGACAAAAAATGTTCCTGTCTGTCAGGGGTGGCCAATGAAATGGCAGTGGTTCACCAGGGTTAGTCCCTGCTGGACCACTGCTGCTATATTTACACGCACCTCTGCTGATATAGGCAATCGCAGCTCCCATTGTCCAGGAACGGTGACCCGCAGCCAACGGGAGCTGTGATTCCCCATAACTGTAGAGGCTCAGGTAAATATACCAGCATGAGGGCCCACCAGGGACTAACTGTGGCAGACCAGACCCGGCCCATGAGCTGGTATTTGCCCACCCATACTGTAGGTAAACAACATGAACTCACAATATGATGCTGTGGCAAAAGAACTATCATGATCCACTGAGATATAAACAGGGGAGTATCAAGTAGGAATACACAGGCGGTATTCTCTGTGTAGACTGGGGCCAGTTAAATTGGAAAGAGCTCCTAAGAGAGGTATAGGAGTGACTTTAGTCAATAGGCAATTTGATCAGCTATTGGATCAACTTACCTAGGTAGGTGGTGGATTCCCCTTGAAATCTTTAAATCAAAACTGGAATTCTTTCTAAAAGATGTGCTATAGCTCGGGCTCCATGTCCATCTCAGAAGTCGCAGAACTCAAGGATTCCATGACTTCCTGCAATCTCTGTGACTTCTGCAGCAGCCTAGAGCCACCCAAGCAGCTGGCCTCAGAGTCCGCTGCTCAGCTGGCAGGAGCAGCTCTACAGCCAAGTGCTTGGACAGTCCCACAGTCAGTCACACTAGCGTGGCACTAGCCACTGCTGACGCAGCTTGGGAGGCAGCCACACTGGCTGCTGCTCAGGTGGTCTCAGACAACTGGGGATTGCCCAAGTGACAGCTGATGTGGCTGGCCCAGGAAGCAGGCTAAGCAGCAGGCCTGGTGCTGGGAATAACCACAGTTAGGTAGCTCCCGGCAGTGGTCTTAGGATGGGCAGAGTAGTGGCTGGCCACCCAGGGCTCTGCACTTGGAGGCAGCTGAAGCAGCAGTAAGCCACTGGGGGCTTTCCCCACCTGTTCATGGATTTTACTAAAATACCCGAGATTAAATCACAGCCTTAGCTATAGCTCAGTTGAGAAGGTGTGAGCTTGCTGAAGGTGAAATTCCATGGCCTGTGTTATGGAAGAGGTTGCTCTACATGAGGTCTGGGCAAAATAAGGCCCATGGGCTGAATTCAGCCCGCTAAGCCACTGAATCAGGCCTGCGGATGCTGCAGGGAGCCCTAGCTCCACCCGTACACCACTTAGAAATGCAGCTGCGAGGTGGTTCCCCCTAAAAGGGGGACAACCAATCCCCTCGCTTTCATACTTTTATGTCCTTAAGAAGAGATCTGCCTCTTAGATAAACTCATTCACCCCCCTGCATTAGCACAGGGATGTTTGGAGATAGTAAGTATCTGCGGCTTCCACTGACGTAGGGTTGCCAGATGGCCGGTTTTGAACTGGACAGGCTGGTATTTGAGGGTTCTGTCTGGAAAATAAATTGAGAAAATACTGGACATAGAAATGTCTGGTGTTTTCTAATTAAGTTGGTTTTATTATCATGAGTATCAGTACGTAGCTGCGCACTGCCTGGCTGGTGGACACGTTTACACTGCGTGAGCCTGTCTACCAGCCAGGCAGCATGCAA